CCAGCTACTTGGGAGGCTGAGGCAAGAGACTCGCTTGAGCCCAGGAGTTGGAGGTTGATGTGAGCGTGATGCCAGGCACTCTACCCAGGGGGATAGCTTGAGGCTCTGTCTCAAAAAAAAAAAAAAAAGAAAAAAAATTACCCTAGAATACTGCTCCCTGAAAGGCTATGAGGCACCACAGTTGCAGAGGCCAAAGGTCTGGGAGGCTTTCAGCCACAGCTGTGCCCTGGTGGGGGGCGGGGGGAGAGGGTGGGGATGGGTCTAACCTGTGTGTAGGTGATGGGCTCCAGCTGGGCAGCCCGGAGTTTCCGCAGCTGCTCCTTGTCTTTCCTCAGGTCTGTCTTACAGCCAATGAGCACCATGGGGGTCCCACGGCAGAAATGTGTGACCTCAGGGAACCACTGTGCAGGAGAAGGCAGGGTGTCAGGGCTGGGGCTGGCAGAATCTGGGTCTCCACCCCCCCCCATATTCAGACTGGTGGGTAGGCAGCCTCACCTTGATGAGGACATTGTCGTAGCTAGTGGGGTTCATGACATCATAGCAGATGAGCACAAGGTGGGTGTTCTGGTAGGACAGGGGCCGTAGCCGGTCATAGTCTTCCTGGCCTGAAACCAGAGGGCAAATGAGGGTCGGGGGAACACCCTCGGTCTCCACCCCAAGCCCCCTGTCTGGGCTCTGATGGGTGAGGGTTGGGTTGCAGGAGCTAGGGAAGTGACTGCGTGCTTCTGGGCCTCAGTTTCCTTAGCTATAAAATAAAAGTGGCAGCCTACAGTCTTGGATGGTGACAAATGACACAGGAGCTTGAGCTCATACAGTGTTTATAGCTGGGCGCAATCATAGGCTAAGTGCTGGAAGCACTGCTAGCAAGGATGGCAATCACGAATGTGGGTGCCTGCCCTGATGCTTGGGGTTGAACTGGAGGCTGCAGCCCTCCTTGCAGATTCAAACCCATGGGGCTGGGCAGTCCTATGGGTACCTCTAAGCCCTAGAGGCTTCATGTTCTGCTTCAGCCTCTAGCTCCCTTGTCTCTGATGCTGTTGGCTGAATTCTCCCCCTCATTCTTTTTTTTTTGAGACAGAGTCTGACTATGTTGCCCTCAGTAGAGTGCTGTGGTGTCACAGCTCACAGCAATCTCAAACTTTTGGGCCTAAGCCAGCGGTTAACCTGTGGATCGAGACCCACAGGAATTGTATTAAAGAGCTGTGGCATTAGGAAGGTTAAGAACCACTGGTGCAATTCTCTTGCCTTAGACTTCCACTTCCAAGCAGCTGGAACTACAGGCGCCTGCCACAAAGGCTATTTTCTGTTGCAGTTGTCATTGTTGTCTAGCTGTTCTGGGCTGGGTTTGAACCCACCAGCCCCAGTGTATGTGGCTGGCACTGTAACCACTGTGCTATAGGCGCTGAGTCCTCCCCCTCATTCTTGCAAATGCTGTGAGGGTGAGGGGTTTGCTGGAACAACACTAAGTGCCCTCCCCAACTCAGATTCACCCTGCACAGTGGCTATCAGTTTCTCACAGGAAACTCATCCAGAGATATTTCTTTTTTCTATGGGGGTCTGGCGGTGCCCATAGCTCAGTGGGTAGGGCGCCAGCCTGGATGGGCTCAAACACAGCCCAAGCCAGCTAAACAACAATGACAACTGCAACAAAAAAATAGCTGAGCATTGTGGATGGCACC